AGGTTAACTACCGTAAAGTACAAGTGCCTCGTCCCACCTCAATGACCGGAACCATGCCGAAACGCATCTATGTGTTGAAGCATGACGAGTACAGCAGCCCAGAGTTGAAAACAAAACAAAAGAAAACTTCCACGCAAAATCCTGCATTACAAAAGAAAAACTTTGACAATCTTCCTTCCATCGTTCCGCCTCGGCCACCACGCGCCCGAGCCTCGATTCCTATCCTTACTTCCATGCCAGATCACCTAGGCTTTCGCTCATCACCTCCGAGTCACAGGTATCCCTGCCATCCCCCGGCTAGCCTCCGCGTATATTCCGCTCTCCTGGACGTAGTCCCTGAACAGTTGCCACCCGCTTGATCCGAGCATTGTTTCTATAGCTGGCGCCCTTCGCTTTCCGCTTTTCAGCCGCCATGTTGCCAGTGCTTTTCGATACTGAACAAGGTGACCGATTGATTTTTCCCTCCCACACTCGCAGTGAAGTGTAGCGTCAGTGTGGTTGAAGCGGCGATGATAAGCCGCGAAGTCTCCATGTCCGGTTCGAGCGGCTATTAAGCGAGCGTAGACTGCCCTTGGTAGTGCTAGTTCTGGCGGTTTCTTGCGTCGCATCTCGAGTTCGAGGTCGGCATAATGTCTGGGGCGATTTGAATGCCACCAGTCTGTAACCATCTGCCTGGCCAGTTCGCGAGCTTTCCTTCCGGAAGAGGCGAGGGTCATCACCCCATGTGTCGTCCTCGTATCGTCCGACGAGTTAAGTTCTCTTCGAGCGAGCTCATCAGCCATTTCATTTCCTACCAGCCCTTCGTGGCCCGGAATCCATCCTACTTCAACAGGTGCTGCTGCTCTAGCGACCATTTTGTAGAACTTTTGAATCCTCCAGGATGATGAGCCTGTTGTTCTCGTTAGTAAGGCCTGGACAGCCGCAGAATTGTCGAGCAGAATATAGATGGCGCTACGACTACGATCTCGCTTCCTGCTAGTGATTGCTTCTAGAGCAGCCAAAGCTCCATGAACCTCCGCGTCGTAGACCTCCGCATTGGTTATTTTGCCTGAGACGCTTTGCTCAATTACCCTGCCTGTGCCACTGATAAAAGTCACAAAGGCCCATGACACTTTGTCGGTGGACGCCCCAGAGCCATCACTGTACACGCAAAGACAGTCGGGTGGGAGAGTAGGTAGCCACTTTCTTATAAACCTAGCTGCTTCTTTCTTGCTTGTCCAGCGGGGAATTGGCTGAGGGGGGGCCGGAGGTCGGAGCGGTGGAGGTAGTTCGGCCTCTAGCAGAAGTCGATACATCCTCTGGACCCTTGAATCATGATCTCTGTCGAAACCAAGTCTGGTTTTTTTGCATGTCTTTAGGCCGAGTCGGTGACGAGCGCTGTCTGTGCTTTCCGTGGCCCGAAGTCGAAGCGGATGGTACTCATCTAGTGTCCGGATTCGTGCGGCAGTCTTGAGCCTGCGTTCCTCGAGCAGAATTTGTGCTGGCGGAATACCAGTCTCTCTTCTCAGGGCTGCAATAGGCATCGTGCGCCAGGTTGGTAGAGCCACGCGGATTCCGAAGGCAGAGGTTTGGTCGATGACTTTGCTCTGTCTCTTGTAGGAATTACGCGTCACACCTCGATAAGTTTCCCTGGTTGGCCCCGGGCACCAGACCTCCGCTGCATGCATCGCGATTGGCAGAACTACCGTGCGAATGACTGTGGTTAGTAAGTCAGGCCTTGGTCCCTGGGTATAAAGTGTAAGCCGTCGGAAGTGCTGCACTAGCCGCATTGCTTTGCTGGTCCACTTTGCGACGTGACTTTCGAAGGTCAGACCGCGATCAAGGTGTACTCCGAGCCATCGGATGTCGTCGGATGCTTGTACATCGCGAGTGCCTACCCTTGTAGCCGGAAGATCGTGTCCCCTGGATCTGGGGCCGACGAAGTAGACTACTTCGGCCTTATCTGGGTCGAAAGAGACGGCATTATCAGCGGCCCACCCTAGGACTGCATCGACTTCTCTCTGGACAGCTACTGCGGCTTCAGTTGCAGTTGAACCTATGCCGAGGATGGCAACATCATCTACATAGCCAAATCTCCAACTACTGCCCCCCAAGACTTCGGCCATGTACAATAGGAAAAGAATTGGGGAAAGAGGCGATCCCTGTGGCAGCCCGCATTCTAGGAATACCGGGTCTGTGACTCCGTCTTCGTGTCGTACGCGAGCGGATCGTTCTTGTAGGAAGGACTTTATCCAGGTGATAGCTGGTTTAGGCCACCCCATCTTGTTCATCCTCTGCAGCAGCCGTCCGTGGAGTACAGCATCGAATGCACCCTGAACGTCCAAAGTGACTAGGACTGCTTTCTTCTGCCGTTTCATTGCATGTTCTACATCGTGGATGACGCATGAGACGAGGTCGTTGGTAGACCTGCCAGTGAGTGCTCCAAAGAGTTGCTGCGGGACTGCCTTGTAGGTGAGGGCGGTGTAAGCCATTCGCCTTGCAATCAGTCTCTCGAGACCTTTACCCAGGGAGGAGAGAAGTGCGATAGGCCTCCATCCTTTAGCTGTACTGAGGTTACGGCCGGGTTTTGGGAGAAGGATTACTTCCACTAGCTTGAAGGCCTTCGGAAAGTGATTCAATCGCAGTGAGCCCTCAAAGAGTACTCTCACTGCGTGACCAATTGATGGCCAGGCTGTCCTAAGAAGATGAACAGAAATCGCGTCTGCTCCAGGGGCTTTATTTTGGCAGGCCGTTGTAACCCACCTGGCTTCCTCGTCCGTAACGCTCGAGAGCCATGGGAGGTTTCCGCGTCCTGGCTCGAATTCCTCAGCGTCGACGTCGTTCTGACTGGTGAACCGGCCGAGAAGGAGGTCGCGCAACAGAGTTGCTCGCTTTCCTGGATCCGAAACAAGACCATCTGGAGTTTGGAGTGGTGGAGCAGCTGATGTAGGTTGCGGCTTAGCCCGGCGTGCCATCCGATACATGTCGACGTAGAAATGTGGCGGTAGTATGGTTACGGAATTTTCTTACTTCTACTTGAGTCAATGGCTGTCTAGCGCACTTGGCTCTGTAACCCGAGTCACACCTTGTACAGTGCTCCTATCTGCTTTTATTCCATAGAGATTTATCTAATTGAATCTAGATGGTGGATAGCTATCCGGCTCAGTTTTTATCTGTGGAATTCAGCTACCTTTTCACCAGAACCTTCTACCTATAGAGATGAAAATTCTCAAAAATCTGCAGCCCCAGCCTGGCGAGGCCTAGACACCGGGAACGCATGAGGTGCGCATATTCATCTATATCTCTCTTCTTCGTAACATTCGAGTTCGACTTGATCCAATCCGCCATCGCCATATCGGCTGCTGGGTACGTCCCGGAAACACATCGGATGGCTTTTTATCCATGATCAAGGGTTGGTGATGAGAAGGGCTTCGACCCTACCATCTGATCTGATCGTGGCTAGCTTCATGATAGTGGTGATGGGGGGTTGTGCTTAGGGATGAAGACGATACAGATCGCAAAAGCGATTAAGAATTCTCATTGAAGTGAGGACTTTGTTACTCAATCTCGGCTCTGCAGACTCTGCAGTGAGAGCTGGAGGTTCGTAGGGGACACCGCAGGCAGTTGATGAGCTTGAGTCCCCCACCTTCTCAGGTGTCTTAAAACTAATGGTAAAGAGTTCTATTTTTATCGCTTAACCAGACAAATCGAGATAAAATAGGTTCTAAAGCGACAGTTAAACCAGTATTTTTCTAACTAAGGTAATTGGGAGCCGACAGCCAGAATAACGAAATACAGTGTTCAAATAACATAATTCTAATGCAGCTGCGAAATTATAGTGTGCCTCGCCTATGAAGTTTCAAAAATTAGCAGCTGAATAACTGTTAAAAACAATTTAAATTTTGTCCAGGTTGATTTGCTCGCGGCGTTGTTGAAACTAGTGATTGAAGTCGGTACTGCAGCTTAGCAAGTCAAGCTGCTATCCTTCCAGTTACTGTTGGTCAATTCAGAAAATTAGGTTTTCGTAACCTTTTACCTACATGGGTAGGATTTTGTAGGGTACAGGCAGTCCAATCGTGCCCGACAACCCTTTGCCGCCCAGTTTTCGTACTAAGCGAATATTAACTCCCAAATGTGGAATTGAACTATCCTAATTCCTTTGTTCTGACGTCATGATGGATGCTCTTAATAATATGATAAAGATGCTGCAGAAGGGGCAGGGCTCGGAGTTTATTGTTACCGACCTCAATGCGTATAGTACTAGCGGTCAGTTGTCCAGGGATTTCCGGACTGAATGTTAAAAGCGTAAAAAGTTTTTGAGCGAAATGTTGACAAGTGATCTATCCATCTGCAATGTGTAAAATATATATGGTCGTAGAGGACCAGGGTTTTTATGACCGCCAATATTTGAAGCACAAGGACAAGAGAGCGTGTTGTAACATACTTTTCCTTTATATGTGGGGGTACCACGAATTATATGTGCGTCATCGGGTATGTAATTATTCCGTTCACGCTAGTTAATCCAGCTCTCACCCCGCACAACCATCTCACAATAGCTGGGCAGCTTTTTCCCCGCTCTGGACCAATTCCACTCCGTATGAATGACAACTAAAGTCGCTGTTGAGAACTTGTTCCTCTGCTTACATCATCAGAACTACACAATTACAACAACCTATCAAGTATGCACCAATTGCGCAGTTGTCTGCAGATCTCCGTTCTACATTCCTGCTGCACTAATCCTTTCTCAAATAAGTTAAAAGTCGCTTTAATATTCTTGTAACCTGATCAAATAACTTACGACATAGAAAACCTTATCTCACATAATTGGCTTTCCTAACTTCCCCTTTTTTGAAAAAATATTTATCCGCCAATCTAGAGACCATAATCCTCCTATCTCACGGATAACGAATCGTACTGCCTTCGGACACTTTTTTGATTGGAAAAGTAAAGTGTTGCTCCACTCGAATAGGTTAATTCGGGAAGGACTAGATAGTTTCAAAAGGAAAAGACCCCAAAATATCATGGATATCAATTTTAATGATAATCTATTAAATCCACTTGACGAGAACTCTACTCATGACATAGAGGTTGATACATCTTCAAATTTTAGCCATATTCAGAATCGACGAATTTCTAATCCGAATAATAGTTTCACCATATTTTACAATAGCTCAGATGGAAGACAAGAACAGCCGGATCCTGGCATTGACATCCCCTCCAACATGGACCTTGGATCAGGAGACAGTACGACCCTGGCTACGATTTTTCCTCATGATCAGAATTTAAATAGCGAAATAGAAATGTCTGATGCAAGAATTATCGATTTCAATTACGAGACTAGCATTCAGAACGCACCAGTCCAACCTAATGAAAGAAACAGACTTCATGGAAATCGAAATAATCACCTTTTTGAGCTAAACCAAGAGCCAGATATAGACATTCATACTCAGCAAGAGATATATCCAGAGAGTTGGGCAGCCACAAATCAAGAAATTCACCTAGAAAATAGGGTTATTGGTAACTTAGCCACATCTGTAGTAAACGAGCCACCGAATTATGTAAATACCCGAAATCAACAAATATTATCTCAAATAGATGAGCTAAGTGAAGAATATTTTCCATTCGAGATTCCACTAGCTCCATTATCATATCCTCTCAATGACTCAATAGTCGCGTCTGAATCAAATCTGCACCTCAACCGCTTGTTACTTGCTGGCAGATTTCCGACAAGAGCACCAAGAACATTTGACCGCAATTGCCCTTCAGACTTATGGACCATGTTGGACAACAATTCCCGATCGATTTTAGCTACTACACAATCGCATTACGTATCACTTGCAAACTCATCTTTATCTCCCAATCGAGAAGCAATCACTTTAAGTGGAAATGACGAAAGTGATTATAGCGATTCTCGATCTATTGACGAAAATTACGAGCCTCCAGAACACAGAAACTTAGATTTGTACGGAACGCTAAAACACTGGAGCAATTTAGCTTCTAGAAAAAAGTCCAGACGTTCAAAACCATATCGAGGACCTTCTCTACCTGCAGTTGAGGCATTACGATCAACGAAACCCTGTACTGTTGAACGATGTGATCTTCGTGGAGAGTACTGTGACGCCCAAAGTATCAACTGGAGAGAACTTAATGTATCTAGGGAGGAAGCACAAGACCGGAGATGTGAATTTTATCATAGTTACGGAAATGTAAGATACCGTGATCCTATGACGGTAAGTTTTTCTATTCTTTGCTTTGATAATTATGCTCATGAGCGCAGCTATTTACAGTTGGTTCTTATCTACCTAACAGAGCAAATTACTTTAAATTCCGTCGCATGGATTTTCAACACAATGTCCATTTAATTCACTTTCAACTTCGGAATTTAATAGCTTGTCCCACTCGGGATCATGTTTTCTACGTTGGTAGATCAAAAATAATGCATTACAACCCTGTCCAAGGAAAAAATGACCCTAAACCATCAACGGTTCTGGATCTCTGCAATCCGCATTCGCAGAGCGGGCTTGGCTCTTCCCAAGGTATTCAGATATCAACGATGGCTGTTGGGCACAATTTCCTCATTGCAGGGGGCTTCTGTGGCGAGTACGGCTTGTTAAATTTACAGGCTCAAAAGGGAACAGAGCATATTCAAGGTTTCATCTCCAAGCATCAAAATAGTATAGTAAACCATATTCAAATCCACACTACTCGTCGCAATGCACATCCTTTTGCAACATTTGCTACCAATCATGCAAGTCTACGGATTCTCGACATTAATACCAACAAACTGGTTTCAGAGCAGACATTTAATCATGCTCTTAATTGCAGTGCCATTTCCCCTGACCAACGCCTTCGAGTAATGGTTGGAGACATGCGTGAGGTTTTGATATGTAATTCTGAGACGGGAGCGATTCTACAGACGCTACAGGGTCATTACGATTATGGATTCGCTTGTGACTGGGCTGATGATGGTGTGACAGTAGCAACTGGAAATCAAGATCGCCAAATAAGGATATGGGACGCCCGCAAATGGACTACTAGCAAAGGACTTGCATATCCTGTCGCTCAAGTTGCATGTAAAATGTCCGGAGTGCGTAAGTTAAAATTTTCGCCACTCGGCTCGGGTAAGCGCCTTTTAGTGGCAGCGCAGGCCGCTGACTACATCCATGTTATCGATGCTGGTAGCTTCAAGGAACAGCAAGACCTAAGTTTTTTTGGTGAAATATCCGGATTTGACTTTGCCAACGATGGACAGGATTTATTCGTCGCTATTTCTGATCAAGCTAGGGGTGGAATCATGGAGTTTGAACGATGTGATATAGCTGGGGGTGGCAGTTATGACCTTAAATGTGGCTTCCGTGGAAGAGAAGACGCAGACTGTGTAAAAAGTTTTGATTGGATGAGTGATGATCAAATTGCACGTGTTACCAGGTCTCATGTAACACCCGAGAGTTTGGATCGGCAAGCTGCCTCGTACGGAATCAGTAAGGAATATTTCTGATAAAAGTACCGGCGGTATTTTAAAGAGGCAAGTACCATCCCTTCATCAACGTTATTTTGGAGATCAAATCAAAACTATCGCAAATTTCTGGAACGCTAACTTACACAGTGAGCTAAAAAGGTCTGAAGAGATATTATTCGAACAGTTTTCTTGTTGATTATGGTCTGGCACCATATTTTTTTTCTATAACAGTCCGCCCTCGTAATCTTCTTACTAGCCATCTATGTGCTATTTATACGTAGGCTTCTATGGAATTTGGCGCATAAGTATAGATCAACTTTAATTTGTTAAGATTTCCCCGAAATACCCCTTTAGATCAACTCAGATAATTATTGATAAGCGTGGGCGTTTAAGTGATTGGACTATCTAATAATGCGGATATTAATTAACGGCTTTTATGAAGAATATTATTCTATTGAATTAGGTGGCAAACCGAGACGAGGATAAACTGGCGGATCTACCGCATTGGACATTAATAAGTCAACACATTCGTTAAGCTTGTATTTAGTCCAATATCTTTTAAATTATCAAATTTTTTGAATAAAAGAAATTAGTTCACAATTTTATCACCTACACGTAGAATGATGGACAATTATTATAGCCAGGAATCCACCGTAAGCTTATGTCCACAATAGGAGTGTATGAAATGTAGTTATATTATCACGAGCGGGTTCGAGTTTGATAAATATTAATATTGTTTATTGACAGGGTGAGTCTGGTTGTTGCAAGAGCTAGCCGAGCCAGTCAGGTCAAACTTGGGGGTCGCGTCAATAACGCTATTCATGCAGATCAGTCGCGTGGAGAAAATGTGTACTAAGGAGGATTTGTCTGTCTCAGTCTTCGTGAACATAATACTATCGCTTCTGATTCAATCTGACCTCCTTCCGCTGTGCTAATTCTCTTGTCTTCTCTACAGTCAGACAATTATAGAAGTTCTCTCAATGTTAATAAATATTGTATTCCAAAACGCTAGAAGCAGGCGTAACCTGAAGATCGACTAGAAGATGCCAAATAAAATGCCAGACCTGGCGCTTCCGAGAACCGTCTGTGCTCATCTTATCGCAGCTCGAACTGGTCACAGTGACTTCGTGGCATATCATTATCGCTTCAATCGTACAACAGCTATAAGTAATTCTTAGATACGAAGCAGCCAACGCGCTTGCCAAAGCCGCCTATGCGGCTCAAGCTTCACACTTGGCGCTCTCTTTATCGAGGGTAAGAAGGGAAGTCAAAGCCCAATACGAGGCTTCCGTTGCACTCTGTTGGGCCGAAAACGCACAGTCTAGATACAAAGAATTAGGTATTGGTCCTAATACTAAGATCACCATTGAGCTTGCTCGTCTAGGGCGGCGGGCACTAGTATATCTTTTAGCTGCACGTTCTGGATATTGCCATTTTGCAGACTACCACCGACGGTTTCAGCACGAAAACGCCGTCCTTGCCTGCCCATGCGGGGGACGAGAAGTTCCCGACCACTTTTTTTATTGCTATGTGTGTCCAGGTCACGGGACATTGCGTTGAGAAGATTAGTGGGAACTTACTATGTAATCATATATTAGCGTGCTTGTAACATCAGGAGTTTGCTGTTAGGATCATGAACGAACAAATTACATCTCACTTATCAAACTCCACAGGCATTCTGTTATACTAATTACACGCGTGCTCTGAGTTCCCAGTCACCGCAAGCCACTTCACAACCCCTACGCTCGAACGCACAACCACCTCGGGCAGTACCAGGTACAGCTCTACAGGGCTCAGATCTTCAATCCCACTATACCTTGGGCTCTTGCTTCAGCGGAGGGAGTTCATGCATTTATTAGCTGAACATGGAATAAAAGCTAGAGAGCTTTAAAGTGATGTAACCAATCAGCCGCTTTACCAATTTTATTTCGTTGCTCTGTATTCTTCGTTGAATAACATCTATAAGTCATGAGACACAACGGGAGGCCGATATTCATGTAAATTCAAGTTTCGAGCGCAGGATAACAAGATGCTGGTTTTCATTGGCTATGTTGGGTCTATGTAGGCGGCAAAACGTCGGGTAGCTTTATATAGAATGGGCTAGCCGGTACGCGGGCACGTTGTTAAACATTATAAATAAACAGCTATAAGTAGATAAATTATTCAATTATCCTGACTTGGCGCCTTGAGTCCCATGCAGGATTTAATCGGAAGATATGTACTTCAAGTAGGATGACCCAATATGACGTTTAGAACACTCACACTCAGATTTTATTTGCAGATAACACTCGAGGTTAACCCCTGCGGCGTACAACCTCTTCCGTGTATACCCACCACAGGGAAAAGCGTGCAAACCCTGTGGCTACCTAAGTGTGCTTTCATCATCCCACAATTACAATATCACCGCGAGAGAGAGAGAGTGGTGTGTGGGTTTTACTGGATTCGAATCAGCTTTCTCCTATCTCGAATGGGGTAGGTGTTCGAGCTACCTAGTATCTACTCGGGAGAACGGCCCGGATGGTGTACCACTGCACCATCCAACCTCCGTATGGTAGGCATAGGAGGGGATTTACTACTGGTATAGGTATCCTTGTCCTGTAGGCAGAGAGTATCTGCATGTCCTACATAGTCATAGACTCAGAAAGGACAATAAAATGAATAAAAAAATACAGCAGCTCATCCTCCTTTCCCCTGTCTCCTAACAACTTAACTGAGCCATCACAACAAACCTGTGCGTGATAACTATCAATTAGTATTATGACGAGAGGAACTGCAAATAAACAGTAGCTTTATCAATATGATGTGTTAGATGGAGGGCAAAGAATGAACACGTGTACGCAGTGCCCTCTACGAACCTAGTATTAAAACATTCTCCCCGAGCCAAGTTCAGTCAAATTTCGCAATTCGGAAGTTGGCCCACGAGGCAATGATCCAAGACTCTCTACGAAATCCAACTCTCCCACCCCACTAGATGGATCTCTACAGAAACCTCATCAATTTTACAAGTACGACCAAGTATTTCCTCGTTTCAGCGACCACACTTCTCATCGACTATTCTCTGGCCTAAGCTGGCCACCAAAAAGACGCCCTCGCCGATTTTTATACCCGATGGAGGAAGCAAAGCGTGGCGCACAAATCTGGAAGAGAGTTCTTTGGGATGGACGTGGGAGGAATCAGGATAAGTTGACAAGATGATGCAAAGGAAGGATATAACTTGGATGCGCGTGAATTTTGGCAAGAGTTTTACGAATTCAGCTTTGTGCGCGCCTAGACTTCGATTACGAGAGTGCAGATGACACTATAAACACAAGTCAACGATGAAAGGTGCCGTGGCCCGCCTCCTGGTGGTGTTCTCTGGCATGGTTTGAGTAGCCTGGGCACCTGTTGCACCTGGGAAGGAGACATCTCAGATCACATTTCGCGCGGAGAAAAGACATTGGGTGATGGAGGCATGTCTGGATAACTCATGATTTTTGAAACGTTCCTCTGAATTGTTATTCACGAATGTGCGTTGAGTGTATGTATGTGTTTATTGTGCTACCTGAACCTTAGACTATCTAGCACGTTGAGCTCCTCTCTAGCCCATGCCAAAACTTGTACAGTGCTCCCATCCTCTTTTGTTACTGGAAAGATCACTGATAAATTGCCCGTATTGAATAGCCATTCAGCTCAGTATTTGCCCGTGGAATCCAGCTACTTTTTATAAGGAACCTTCAACCCAAAGAAAACAGTAATGGTAGCAATGGAAATTGCGTGCGTGCGGAGAAGTCTCGAAAAACCTGCAGCCCCAGCCAGGCGAGGCCTAGACACCGGGACCACATGAGGTGCGCATATTCATCCATATCTCCCTTCTTCGTAACATTCGAGGTCGACTTGATCCAATCCGCCATCGCCATATCGGCTGCTGGGTACGCTCCGGAAACACATCGCATGGCTTTTTATCCATGATCAAGGGTTGGTGATGAGAAGGGCTTCGACCCTGCCACCTGATCTGAACGTGGTTAGCTTTATAATAATGGTGATAGGGGGCTATTGTTGAGATATGAAGACGATACAGACCGCGAAAGCAATTGGGAATCCTTATCAAAGTGAGGGCGAAGGTGCTGCTCAATCTTGGCTCTGCAAACTCGACAGTGAGAGCTGGAGGTTCGTAGGGGACACCACTGACAGGTGTTGGGAATAGTCCCCTGAGGAGGGTTGACTTGGGGTGAAAAAACAGCCATCATAACTTCGCAGTATTACTTGCAAATGAAATCTGAGGCATGAGAGTTCTTCCTTTACATTGAGTCACCTATTATGTACTACTCTTTGGTATTGTGTCATAGCTAGATAGCTGCATACGCAATTGAAATCTGATGCAAAAAAAGTCTCTGTTAGGTTTTCCATCTGGGCCCAAGAGCTTTATCGTTGGGCAATTTTCTGATAAGCTTTTTGACTTCTTTGGTGATAGTACTACAGATTGTGTCAATTTTTATCAGGATATCTCTTACCTGCAATGTCGTTGGTATCAGCTTGGTAGGTTTTGGAAGCAAGTGACCTGCCATGATCATGACTTTTTCCTTTTCATCTATTATAATATTTACATTATGATCTAAACTGGGTTAATGAATAGAGAGGAGGGTCCATATACCCTAGAATCTCCTACATTTCCACCTTTTCTATCACTCTTTCCATAGAGAGGGATTGGTCTCCTTTGGCTTCCAAGTTTAAACTAGTTCCGACCACTGGAAAAAAAAATTTACTAAAAATTTCTATTCATCATTCCAAGGTAATAGCAGGGCTTTTAGTACGGCAAAGTATCGTGTAAATCAAAAGCACTACGCTGCAACGTGGTGGTTAAATCATGATTTCTTCTTCTTTCTCTTCTAAGCCCTTAAAGGTGACATACTCTTATTTGCACGGGCTAATTTATCTAACCTAACTAGGCTTAGCTGACATCACGTGAAGCTTGATGTCGGGTGAAGCTCATAACAAGGGCATTGTCTATCTTGTCCCAGGCTTGCTCTCAACCACAGGGGATAACCTGAAAGAATATTCAATATTAGGCATGTATTTAAATACACAGTGATATTTATAGGAGTTATTAGGAAATGATTTAAAAATTAATGAAAAGCAATATTACGGACTAGGTTTATGTGATTCAGAGGAAGATCTTGTGGCCTATCATGCTCAGCTTACGCGAAAAGCGGACATGCCACTTTGTAATAGGTTTAGTGTCTCTTGCAACAAAGTTGTGTGGGATTTATTCAATAAAAACGCGAGAGTGGATACTGAAGCAACGACATTTGTCCAATTAGGGCTCTCTGAAGGTGACTGTGTTTTCTTCAAACTACGTTGAGAGTGCAGAATCTAGAAATTTTCCTTGAGTCAACCCATACAAATGAGGCCACACTTTGACGTTTCTCTGGAGTTCCATGTATCAAAGATGTTTTCATTTGGCGAAAAGGTTGTGATACTCAAAGTTACTAGTGGTAGTGCAAATTTCGTAAATGGCCGTGGCGCTATCTTGATTTCACTTTGGGTATTGTTTACGAGCACCTACGCGATTGAAAAAGGAATTGATAACACCAATGGCTCTAAAGATTGTGCACAGTCATGGAGTGGGTATTTTCATCGACAAAATTTATTTCACGCTGGAATGTAACCAAGAAACCTAAACTAGCGATTAAATTCCGATTTTATCAAGACAATCGTCCTAACGTCGATAACATAAGCTAAAGTGTGTCCCGCGCTCAATTAGCCGGCGCTAACTGGTGGAATGATGCCAACCTCATCTCCCGATTCAATTGTTCGATTCGGATTCGCCTTACTCTCATTTGGTATATCAACATAATCTTGATTAATTGTGACCAAGCAAGAATTCAGAACATTTTCTGTAATACCTCTGTATTTTAGCTCCAGAAGATCATATAACCTGGATATGCGTAAGGGTGCGGGTATAGACTCGAAGTGTTTCGAGGTGTAGGAACTGGCACTTCCAAAATACAGTATTTTAAACTGGCCTTCTGGCATAGGTGACATTTCTAATTCCATTTACCGTTCAATGACCTATTAGTCTCGATAAATGTTAGCCAATGTATAATAAGTTCTGTTAAGTTTGTAGAATAAAGTTTTTTTTAAAAATTCAGTTTTCTATAATTTGTACTCATTATGTCTGTCACACGGACAGGTTTCGGATAATACATGCTGATGATCTCATCATATTGGAGTTGTATTGAGGTGAAAGTTTTAATGAACAGGTCACTTACAGGAATGTTGTTTCTTCCAGACAAGGAGGGCAATGGCCTACTTTTATAGCTCAATAGTGCTAAATTTTACTGCTTCTTAGTCAGCTGTCCTGACTAATCATATATGTGGAACAATGGATCTTCGTACGAGGTCGCAGATTGTACCTCAGTTATCGGAGTAGTGCTTAGCGTGTTCAACAAACAGAGGCTCAGCTATTCTGAGTATATGAGCATCAGACGAATTAACCAGGAAGATTTGGACCGATTGGCTTTAAATAAAAGTTTACAAGCTTGAATGTTTCCTATGAGTTGAACCCCTGAGCAACCGTACACTGACGTCCTTCCTGTATCGCTAAAGATCATGCTTTCCTATCAGCCAAGAAACAGCAGTAGGACAGATTAATTTGGGAAACGTGCTTGATCCACTGGACAGTTTGTCAGATAATTGGGTTTGACGAGCGAGTCTAACCTAGCCTCGAGCCATTGGAGTCATGGTTCTGTCTACTTAATCTCACTACCTAGTATGGTACAAAATTTATGAACTAAAGCTGTGTCCAAGCTCGTTAATGATACTGGCAGTGGAAATTTATTGTCGATCGAGAGACACGTAGCAGTTAAGTGTAACGTCGCAAAAAGGATATTTGAAGAGAAAGAAGCTACAGATGCTTAAGTTAATAATTGTAAATTTTTGTCGGGAGGCGACACAGGGCTAGACATGACTGCGTGTTGATGCCAACGTGTTGCCACATATCATTGTTTAGCTACATTATACTTAGGCATCATCCAGGTCTAGCATCGGCGACGAACAATTTTTTGCTCATCATCAGAGAGATAATTTTTAGAATATCAGAAAATCAAACAAATAAGACCATGATCGTTGCAGACAGTCAATAAATAGCTGCGACCTTTCTATGGGCACTGTGAGACATAAGTTTAAACGTAGAGACAAAGATATCAGAATTCTTTATAAAACAGCTTCCGGATATAGATCTCTAAAATCGAATTATTTCCCCAAGGTTCCACATACTACGAATGCTCGAAGCTAGTGTTGAAAATCAGTTGGGTAAAAGACAGAGCACGCTCGCCTTGCCGCAAACCTAAAGTGAGACTGCTAGTAGTACAAAAAGCCACTTTTGACAACTTATGCCATACAAAAAATACGACCAGAGTTGAATTAGCTTTGAACGTACATTTTACACATTGGGTACCAGATGCTAACATGTCGACACGCCCACGTGCAGCAACAAAAGCCAAAGAAATATTGATATCGAATTTGAGCCTTAGACTTCTGGCTACCATTAGGTAAATAATATTAGATTTTAATTATAGTCTCTACTGAGTCTACGACAATGAAATACGGCTGCCTCATGTATTATAAGTGCATAATCAACGGCGTTAATCGGCCTGACGAAGGCCGAAAGTAGCCTAGAGATCCACATTCGAAGCGAGAACATCGGGCTCAATTCTCATTTGAACTAGAATTGTATTAGAATTTACATTGAAATTGAATTCGTTATCCTGAAATGGCGCCCTGTGAGCCCGTGCAGGTGTCTGTCATGCTTTCTAAATTACATGGGAGGAAATCTTTGAATGAAAAGCCCCCAAACGTGTTACGGGATTAATCCCTTGTATTTGTACTGTCTGCGCCAGTACGGTAGGGATGGGATATAAGGCCTAGCCAGCTACGGGGGCTACCAATGTTGCTGTCTGGATATGGTTGCTTAGCAACATAGATCGTTATGATCGGCGCTGACAATTACAATTCCCTATGTTTACAGCGAGAAGTAGGAAACCTTTTTTCTCTATATTTCATTAATTAACTGATTTTACTCTCGACTTGCTCTGCTGTATACCAACACCAACTGATCCGGCGACAAAATGTTCCTGTTTATTATCTTTATTTTTCTAGTGTTTTTTTAGGAAACGCAGTTACACTATCGTGCCCTCCATGTAAACCAATCACATCATCACTATCGACCTCAAGAATGGCTTAACCTGTTCCTTTTTCTAAGCAGAATTTCGACGGCCTTTGTAATCTGTAATTACTTTACCCAACCATGGTTTAGGATCCACTGTGTTATCATTTTGATGTCTCCAGTATTGTTTATCATAGTTTCGTCGGACTGATCTTTGGCTTGTCCCTAGATCTCCGCTCTACCATTTGACCATCAATGGCAGGTCATAATTATATGCTTGGGGTTCTGCGATTGGTAGCCACGTGGACAACCTGGACTTACTACCCCGGGTACTTTTCTTCTGCACAGGCAAGAATTTAGTCCGATGTGCTCGCTTCTTAGTTGAATTGCGACACTGCTATGGGCCCTCAATTCTTCTTATTATTATTATTATGGAAGAAAAGAGCCTAGTCTCAACCATCCGCTTTGACTGTGTAGCTACCATTTGTTGCGAAACCAACACTAAAAACACCGGCGTGGTTGAATGGTACGGCGGTACATCATCGTGGTCGGTCTTATAAGTCGTGTCTGGATAGCTTAGACATATATCCCACCTGAGGCAGGAGATCGTCGGTGCAAATTCGCCAAAACACAACCACATTTCACGCGCTGCAAGTTTACATGGTTGGCGAAGGCATGCTTGGATTATCACAGGTGTTAAAATTCCTTTTGGTGGGTACTTACGGAGGAGGGTCGACTGTTTGTGTAAGCGAACATACCTCATAGTGGTATTTGCAAATGAAATCAAAAGTATGAGTGTCCCTAACGTCAAGAGTCGTCCCACATGTAAACATAGCACCGGTCATGTGCCATAGCTAAAGAGCTGCATACACATTAAATGATTTAAAAATAAAAGTTGCGCATCCAACTTAGGCACTCCCCGTGCTTGTGGTATCCGTATGCATCTGTGGATCCCAATTGATGGAAACCCGACCGTGCACATTGTGCGCTGTTGATTGGCTCACGTGGTGCGGGGGAATACGTAAACAATGGCGATCCTGAAAAAAAAAACCAACGTTATTCACGAAAATTATTTCATCGTTATTATTATTGTATTCATCTCAATCAACCCCTCTTACCTGATTCCTCGAATTTTTTTTCGTTGCGCTTCGGCATGGCGAGTTGGGGAGCCAGTAGGGCGGAATTCGCGGCTGAAAACGTTTTCACGGCACCACCCAAACCAGCAATGGGCAGCGGAACAGCCGCAATTACGGCTGTAAAGTCTCTCGCGACTTCTAAAGGCGTTAATATGGATTATTTAAAGATAGTAGCGAAGTATTTAAGTAAGGTCCGACGCGGAATTGTGAACTCAGGTTCATACATATCGGCGGCACCAATGGTGGAAATAGATGAGGCTCTCGACGCTTTCAAAGCCCACATTCAGATAATACAATCGAAGATATCAGCACAGCCAATGGAGGACAGGATGCTTGCCTTAGAGAAGGCTATTACGAAGAGTCTCGAGGAGCTGTCGCGCAAGGCGGCTCCTCAGTCGGCACAAATAATGGGAGGTCGATCTACCTATGCCTCAGTCGTCACACCGCCAGCGACCAAAGCAGCAGTAAGGATACGAGTCGAAGGGCCAGAAAACATGCAGCCGGCAGAGCTGCTTTACAAGGCAAAACAACACATCGAAGGGACATATGCTGTAAGGAAGCTTAGGAGTAATGATACTGAGGTGTTTGTGCAGTCGGTCTCCCAACGAGACTCTGCCCTGAGGATGACGCAACCAAAGGAGTTCAGCGTTATAAAGCAGGATTATCCTGTTGAGATTTTAGGAGTCCCATTGGGGACAACGATACGAGGAGGAAAAGATGCCGACAACGGCACACTGATAAATCAAATCACGGAGAAAACAAAAGTTCGGATTCCCGATCTTAAAATCAACAGGGTGAGGTGGCTTTACGACTGTGAAGAGCACCAATGGATGGCAAGAAACAGTCATACTCGAGGATCAGTGATCGCGAGCCTTTCCCGACAGAGGCACTTCAACGCGAAGTGACAAGAAACGGTATTGTCTTCAATTCAACGCTGTACACGGCCCAGCTCTGGTCACCCCGTGCGCTAGTCAAGCAGTGCTTCAACTGCAGCGAATGGGGGCATACTCAAGCCTCGTGTGCCAAGGTGAAAAGATGTGGTGAGTGCGCGGGCATTCATCAGACCAGAGACTGCCCGAGGAAGTCGGTGCTTTGCTGCAAATGTGGCAAAGCCCATATATCGTGGCAGAAGGGGGTGTGTCAAAACTTCGCGTCATATAAGGCCAGCGTTCAAGGGGCCAGGTATGAACTCATGGAAAGAACGGCAAATCTAAGAAGAGAGAAAACTTCACCAGCGGCATCACAACTAACAACAGCGGCAAAACAAATGGACGACCAAGGATTCACACTGGTGTCCCACCAAAAGCCGGAGGTATTAAAGAGGGGGCCAGGACGCCCGCGCAAACAGCCCCTGGTTAATCCACCACCTCAACTATTTGCGCCATCGGGGTCAAACTCAAGGCCACAGTCATCACTTTTCAGCACGCGAGGGCAGGGAAAGAATGGCGAGGTCGAATACAACTTTAGTTAGTCCTGTGTCGGACTAAAGGCCAATTGCACTTCCTGTAGGTAACGAAGGACTAAAGACATAAAAATTTACAGGGGGAGGGGGTTTTATCGTAATGGTTTCCCCCTCATGTTTATATATAAATAGTTTCATAGCCACCTGCATGGGCCCATAAGGCGCCTAATCGGGTTAAATGAAATCAAATTCAAAAAATGGCGATCCTGTATTATAGAAATCAATTCACGTATTTTTAATCTCAAGCTTTACTTACATTGTATTGTTGATTAGTCGGAGCCACGAGACACCTGCGTGGAGGGTAAGACTGAATACCTGTACGCGGTGCCCTCTACGAACCTGGGAGTGAAATATTCTCCCAGAGCCAAGTTCAGTCAAATTTCGCAACATCAAAGAAGTTGGCCCACGAGACAAAATTTCAAATTACTCCATGTCAATCTTTCACTCCCAAAGAGTCCGATTCTCAACTAAGCTTCATCAAGTCTACAAGTACGACATAGTACATCCTCATGCCAATGACCATACATCTCGTCGACTTTCTCTGGCCTCGACCACCAAATATACGCCCACGCCGTTATTTATACTCGACGGAGGAAGCAAAGCGTGGAGCACAAATCTGGGAGATAGCCCTTTGGGATGGACGTGAGAGGAATCAGGACAAGTTTACAAGATGATGTAAAGGAAGGATACAAACTCAACGGGCGTGTCATTTTGAAATTTGGCAAGAGTTTTTACGAATTGAGCTTTGTGCGCGCCAAGACTTCACTTGCGAGAGTGCAGCTAACACTATAAAAATAAGCAAACGATGGAAGGTGCAGTGGTCAGCCTCCTGGTGGTGTTCTCTGGTATAGTCTAAGTAGCCTGGGCAACTACTCCACTTGGGAAAGAGACATCTCAGATTACATTTTGCGCGGAGAAAAGTTGATGGATGATGGAGGCATGTCTGGATAACTCAGGGTTTTTGAGACGTTACCTTAGGTGGGTACTCACGGATGAGGGTTGACTTAGGGTGAAGAAAAAGCCGCCATAACTTCGCAGTGGTACTTGCAAATGAAATCCGAGGCATGAGTGCTCCTCTCGTAAATTGAGTCATCTTTTCTGTACTTTTCTCCGATATTGTGTCATAGCTAGATAGCTGCGTACGCAATTAAAACCTGACGCAAAAAAAATAGCTTCAAGATAATGGTGATAGAGGAATGTGTTGAGAGATGAAGACGATACAGACCGCGAAAGCGATTGGCAATCCTCGTCGAAGTGAGGACTTTGTTACTCAATATCGGCTCTGCAGACTCTACAATGAGAGCTGGAGGTTCGTAGGGGACACCACTGACAGGTGTTGAAAATAGTCCCCCTGTGACCTTGTAGATGAATATGGCCCATTTTTGAAAAGGCAAATTTACTATTGCAATTGATGCGACTACTTACTAGTCGTTGAGGCTAGTTGATTTATAGTATGGGCATGTTAAAGGAGGCGAGTAACAGAGATAGGTCCGAAATTGATAAGAAGTCTTCTATTCTAAATGTACTTGAGATTGCTTCTGACTTCAATCCGAATGCGATTCTTCTTAGCTATCCCGGACATGCGGAGCGTACTGAGCGACTACACCGGCACCGCTGGAAGGCGAAGGGTTCGTCTTTGCCGGTTCTATTACATTCATTATTTTATTTCTATAGTCTGCCGGGCTTCCGCTGTAGCTGTAGTCGCATCTCTGAGGGCACACGGTGATTGCTCACTTTCATTATTCTAATAGGCATTATTATCACATATGATCCATGGGTAACGTGATGACGCGCTCTACCTCGTGTCGTCAACGGGTCCCGAAATGTCAGCTAGTGCAACTTTAATTAGATTTTCACACAATGTTCCGCTCCACCAAGACCCGTCAGTATGTGTGCTGGTGGTGTCTCAATGATCCTTACAATACCTTGAGGAGATCCCCATTCCTAGGGCTTGCTTGGGGAGCTGGCAACCCACGTGTAGTAAAACAAAGGCCGTTCACATCAAGCCATACTGTAGGACCTACCAACGAGAATTCTCTAGGACAGTCAATGTTAACCATCACTCATAGGAATTTAAAGCTGATGAACAAACAAACAATGAAAACACATCGAGCAAGAACTTGTCGAAATCGAACATCCGCGATCGCCTCCACCAATGGGAAAAGGAAAATACTCACGTCCAATTCACGCAAGAGCCAAATTCTAATTTCACTTCTTCTCTAACTTTTGATGAACATTCTAATCCTGTAACTCATCCTTTTGTTGCGCACTTGCGCCTAGCGACAGTGCCCAGAGAAGAGACTGACGATGAGATTCTTCGCACAGAAGATCATGAAGATGGTTTACTCGGCGTCAAACGAGACTTCCTCATCCCTGGTGATCTTGTGGACTTAAGATTTGGTGGTAATAATAATGAGCTCGCTATATTTGTTCAGCGACTTGATATTCAGTCTCAATACTATACCATGTCGGGCCGATGGCTACACCAACGTGGCACGGATGTAAATATTTACTTTCCTAACTTTGTGAAAACAAGTGAGCTAGATGATTTACGACCATATTTGCCCAAGGAAGATGTTCCCGTTGACCAGGAGGATGCGCTGCATGGATTTGAGAAAGAGCTACCTCGGAACATCGGTGCGCCACTACTACGAAAGATGAAAGATTTCTGGACACAAGCCAATGCAGTATACGAAGCAACCGCATCAAAACTCGACGAATCTTATACAATTGCTGCACATCAAACTTTATTTAGATATGCTACCATCTCGGAGCTCGCAGAAAAAATACTTTCTGGAATAGTGCCGAGAAATAAAGATGGTAAATTTCCGAATCCCGCACTTTACGCACTTCATCGGCGAATCCATATTGAAAGTGCCGGATTTACTTTAGCAAATCTTCGGAAAGCACGAGGTGAGGCGCAATATGAAATCACGCCACTTCAGCTTCGAAAAGAAATGACCAGGGTCGTATCCTACGTACGCAAGTACAATGAACATATGCTCACCAGAGGTCGATCGGAAAGACCTACCGAAATAATAAACTTTGCCAAAAGAGCACAAGACCTTATTCGCCAGAGTCGGAAAAATCGCCAGTTTACTGAATACGGTAACATTGGACCCTACACCGGAAGCGTAGAAGACCAGTATAATACTAGCCCACTTGAAATTTTTACTGGTACGGACAGGGAGATAGTTCGTTTCCTCGAGGTATGGACAGGTTTGAACAGTCTTGGTGGTAGTAGCGGATCTGCGTATGACTCGACTGGCTCAACAATTATTCGCGCTACCAACGAATATAATGATCCTGAAACTCGACTAAATCGGCGAACAGGGTGGACCCTTCTGAAAGAAATCGGAGCAATTTCCCCGTGGCAAACAGTAGCAGAATATGGTGTTAGGGCTCCAAACACTAGCTGCAGGATACCACTTGGCCCTCGATCTATCAAAAGCAATGCCGATCCCAGTATCGATAAAATGAGGCATCTTCGAACTGACTGGAAAGACATGACGATATACTGCATTGATGACACTAATGCTATAGAGCTAGATGATGGAGTCTCTCTGGAAGAGACTGATTCACCTGAAGAGTTCTGGGTACACATCCATGTTGCAGATCCAACTTCTATCCTAGATCCCCACGGTCCAGATAGCAAATACGCAGCAGCCCAAGGGAATACTGTCTTTTTGCCCGACCGTAAAATTCCTATGCTTGATCACGAACTTGTCATGAAGCATATGAGCTTAGATACTGGAAGGCCGTGCATGACAATAAGTGCGAAAATAAGCACACGCGGTGAACTCTTAGACTCAAAAATAAGTTCTGGCACAATCCGAAATGTTCTATCTCTCACCCCAAAGGTATTTGCCGAGGTGAACAACTCAGCTACCTTCTCTAGTACTCCGATCGTCTATACCCTTGGGCCAAAAAGAAATAATTGTCGCCCGAGCCGGAATCTAAAAGAAGCAAACCAGTTATCCGAAAAGGAAAAGTTCGAGATCATCACGCTCAACCGCCTTGGAGAGGCGAGAGTATCGTTTTTACAAAAGAATGGAGCTGCTTTCTTCCCGGTGGAACAGGACTCTTTGAGTATTTACTTTAACGAAACTGGGCTAGCAAAAAAGATTGACGGAAATATAAGACCTAACAATGACCCAACAATTGAAATAACAGTTCCCTCTTCATACCAGGATTTTATTGTCGGTCATACAAATGTCACCAAGACTTATGGTGCAGCATTAACAGCGTTTATGCAACTGGCAGGCGAAGTAGCTGCACAGTGGTGCAGTCAGAGAGGTATTCCCATTCCATATCGTGTTGCACTATTGCAACCATGGGCGCAAAATCCGCTTGAGTACCATCGCCAAAACATTCTACCCCTCGTAGAAAAGGGTGAAAATATACCTGATGAGATAATCTCAAATTATTTGGCCCTCATCGGCCCTGCTCACTTATCATCAGACCCTGGACCACATCCAGCTATGGGGGTTGATGCATACACCAAGGCGACAAGTCCACTTCGTAGATACCTAGATATGGTTGTACATTGGCAAATAAATGCTACTTTGCGGGAAGAAGCTCGTCTGAATCGGTCTCTCGTTGGAAATACACAAGAAGGCTTCCTTCCTTTCAGCAAAGCACAACTCAATGCACTTTTGCCACACATGATTCGTTTAGAACGATGGAGTAAATTTTACCAGAAAGCCTCTATCCAAGAATGGAAGTGTCAATTTATTTTGCGCGCCTGGAAATTTGATCAATTTAAGCTGCCTCAGCCGTTTGTATTTGTGGCACGACGCATCATTACTGGTAGTAGAAGCTGTGTCTTTGGAGAGATCACCTGCTTTGCTCTCAAGGCATTGATGGAAGTGCCTACATTTATGCCTCTGGAGGAGGTCAAAGAGGGCGATATATTTGAGGTGGAAATTCAAGAATTAAACGTTCCCTCGCAGAAAGTCTTGGTGAAAGCGACTCGAAAATTAACTCGTGAGGATATACCTAGGCTAGAGCAATCTTCGCGTGTTTTGTCCTCCCAATAGATAATTTCAGCTAAAACTTAGCATCTTTCACCAGAAGGTCATTCCGTTACACGAAGGATGTAATAAATATTTTACAGTTATTTAAAGATATTTATTCGGCTCAAGAATTATTAGGCCAAGTACGAGCGTTACGAATTGAACATGGCCTGTAGCTCTTTACTATTAGGTGAATTTACCCACTTTCTTCTATCATACACTTAAAATTCTGCCCCAAGATATCATTTTAAGGTCAGGTCATCTCTGCAACAATAGTTAGACTGCTATGTCGTCATTCTAGGAGATAACATAACTTTCTGACTGTCCTTCACACGCTTTATTGCCTGGTATTTTAATCGATAATAGATTTGAAAAATCTGGACTAAGCAATATTATTAATAAGTATCTTACTTTTAATTCGATGCAGCTCTTATCTCTGGAGTGGTCTGTGTAAGAAGGAGTTGGGGTAAAATATATGACCGTAAAACTACTAGAAGCTACTCCGCAACAGGAAGCAAGATTGGGCAAGATTGAGTATTCTGAAGAGATCTCGGAATGGTGTTTCAGGTCTCACGATGGCAAAACGTGTTCTCGTGAGGCTCCAAGATCTTCTAACTTTATGAGCATAGATACATCTAAGCTGACCTAGGCCCTAGATTTGATTGAAATTTTCATGGTTCCCTCTTGTCTTGGATAATCTTGAGTCGTTGAACTTATCTATAACACGATTGAACATGTAGTGATATTGCTATTAATGAATACTAGGGGCTAATTTTCTACTGCATAATATATGAATATCTTGGTAGATATTATTTTCGAATTAGAGAATAGATAAAGATATATACTTCACTACTCTTCAACGCAATTATCGGCCCAGATCTCTAGCATCGCTTGTGTGCGAAAATATAATAGTAACTACTCAAAAGATAATAATGATAACGTTGTGCATGCACTAAACAAGCCAGATCCACAATGTGACAAGTAATATCTTAAGAGCTAAGTGTGCCCACTGCAAGAGGTGATGGGCTAACTTGTTCTATCACAACAGTTTCAATCCCAACGATGAAATCGACGTTCATTTTACTCGAAAGTTATCCAACCTCTTCATCTACATACAACACTCTGGCTCCCATGAATGGAGTGGGCTAATTCTTTTATCTCTTCATTCCGTCACAATTGTTTTACAGTATTAAGCTTACCCTGGCAAGCACAAGAGCATCGAGATAAATTTTCTTAAAGGAATTAGCTAAGTTTCACCGGAATTCGATCTAGGTTTGCTTCGCACAAAACTTTGACTGTAAAAGCAAATATCTTGTCCACAAATTTTGATGTTCATGCCTGATTTCTCTGTGAAGACCAAGTTGTATCAGAGCTCACCCAATATATCGCTCTTAAGGCCCTACCTCATGTAGCATGGGCTGTCGAACAATATATCCTTGACTCAGCCATATAGATGCAATACACATAAGAAACTAATCTCTACAGTGCGCTACATTCGCGGGAAGCACTTCATGTAGATTTGTTCCTATTTTTCCACTTTGTATGCTTACCAAAGAACTCAAGCCCCGACTGGCTGCCCTATCATGCCTATATTCATCGTCGCAACTTATCGTCTAGTATGTAAGATCGTATGCTAAATTCTACGTAGCAGTTTAACGACTCAAAGAAATTGTTTGAGATACCTCGAACCTATCAGCATCGGCTGAGATAAAATCGCATGGAGTTTCTGTTTTTTTCAGCCAATATGATCCAGCATGATATTATTTTAGGTTAATCTTTTTGCAGCAGCCTAATCTTCAATGAGCCCAGCTCAATAACTGGTCCTATGAAGTTATGATGAATAATCTTGGCAACATCAAAAGAATAGCACAGTATATTCTAAACCATAGTTGGATGAAGCAATTATAGATGACAAAGGCGTTCGAGATAATGCTGAGGGAAAGAGATAGGTCAAGCCATTCTTGAGGTCGATAGATATGATGTGGTTGGTTTACATAGACGGCAATATAGTGTAACTGTGCTTCCTGAAGAACATATGTGAAAACTAAAGACAACAAGCAGAAAGGTCTGGAGGGTTTTCAACATGAAGGTCTCCTCCCGTGTAAATACTATACTTCTTAGATACCTGCATGGACCCATAGGGCGCCATATCAGGATAATGAAATCAAATTTTAAAAATTTTCTGAATCAAAAATAGTTTGAAATCTCGAAGCTCTAAAGAAAAATGATTAAAACCAAGCCAGACTGACGCTGTAAGCCGGACTAAATTCTGGCCTCAATCAGTAACGGCTATTATTCCGTGACCTAGCTCAAAAGTTTTAATGTGTCTAGTAGTATCCCTATACACGAGTATTTGGTGCAGATCTCCATTTAAGAAAATCTTTCAACACAAATATATTCGGCTACAGCTAGTAGAGTTTACAACTGGTCCAAAAAACTGATGTAAATAAATGAAATCGATGAGACCGAGTGAGTTTCTGACTATCACATTGTTGAGTACTTCGTTACCACTTAGATACAAGGATGGTGTTTCGAGATTTAGAATCTGAAGGACTCAGCTACTATTCTTCAGTAATCACCGTAGAGCCCGGTGGACCAAAAATGAGTCGGTGTGTTTCTACTTTGGACTGAATTTCCTATCTCTCACTCAAGCATATGCTTTCTGTAGCACCCACCACATATATATCGACGCTGGACGAAGGGAGGAATACTATGGTGTGAAATGATGAAGGATGTAGTTAAAAAGGTGCCTTTAACCTACATGTGCAACCGATGTACAGACCAACAAAAATCCCACGATATCAAAAGAAAGAACTCTTTCATCCGTAATTGAAGAATTTTAGACGTCAAATTATCGTCTCTAAATATTTTTGTATCCGTTTTGACTAGTTGGCATGACTCTCACACTACACAAGCTACTCGACGACCTCATACCCGGAGGACATAGACTGAACACCTGTACGTGGTGTCCCCTACGAACCTGTGTGTAAAATATTCACCCAAAGTCAAGTTCACTCAAATTTCGCAATATCAAAAAAGTTGGCCTACGAGGCAATGATTCAAGACTCTCCGCCATTTTAATCTTTCGCTCCCTGTGAAGGGCTTTGTCCGGGCTGGGACTGCTCACTTGGACCATTCCGTCTAAGAGGTTTAGCTGTAATAGAGCAGCGCTTTCGGGAATGTAAAGAGCGGGCACAAGGAGGCATCAAAGGGGGTACGTACCAGATGAGGAGTATTGTGTAGGAGCAGAGGTGAGCCGGGGAGAAAGGATGATTCTCATACGGCCAAGGAAGGGAGTTAGTACTAGTCTCCGCAGAGGACACGAATGATAGGAGACGACGCGGTTGATTTGCTTCCCGGGGGAAAATTATCAGTTCCCATTTAGTTATCGACTTTCAAGTACTTCTGAATTCTTTAAACTTCTTACACACCCATCGACATTAGTTCCCACTAAAAAATCATCACGTTTACAAGCACAAATTAGTACATCCTCATTGCCATGACCACAACTCTCGTCAACTTTCTCTAGCCTCAGCTGGCCACCAACTACATGCCCATAAGAATATGAATACCCGCCCGAGAAATCAAATGTGGCGCACAGATACAAATCTCTGCATAGAGGCTTAGATTTGAGAATTTCTCATTAAGTGATGGATGGAGAATGATATAACACCGGAAATAAATGGTAGAAAGGTAGGGCTTTGGTACCTAACTGAGTTGCATTGGCGTGGCGGAGCGACTGGTTTGCTGCCTTGGGGCTTTTTCCATTCATAAGTCGGCCATCCGTCATCATGAGCCTGTACATAGGAGCCGAATGGGAGGGTAAATGAGAAAATAAACATACATGGTAGTATTCCAATGGTGTAAAGAGAAAGTGGCAGTGTAGCAGCTCTAATGTAGAGATATAAGATGTACATTGGCTATGAGGAGAGAAATTCTAGAGGCAAGCAGAGACTATATGCTAATGTGCACGTACTACATGTACGCTCTTCATCTTACCTAGAGCCAGATTGAGGCGAGGCCGTAACTATTCCTCACATAGCTTTGGGAAAACTCATAGAAGTCAAAATTTTGTGATGATTGTGCGAGCTTCAGACGTACCCTTTTCTTTACACCCGAGTGGGTACGCGCTATAACTTCCTCTTTTTCTCTACATACTTATCGGCGATTACTGTTACAAGCTCTTATTCGACTTTGGACTAGCGTTGGAGCTAGGTGTTTAGCGGTACACAACAAGCCATATACTGGTCCAGCTTCATGTATCTGACATAGACGTGGGGGCTATCTAAACTGTAAGAAATAATTCTTAAAAACTTTGGGCTTTCGATGATTGTAAGAGTAATACTTAGACACTTTAAGATATAAATAGGAACTATCCAAATGTAAATTCTCAAACGCCCTGTTATCTCAAACTCCTCGCTAGCTTTTACTGCAACAGTGTAACGTTTCCAGCACCACCCAAATATCCTACTCCGCCAACCAATAACGCAATCTATCATTGAATCAAAATTATTCATGAAAAGTCCCCTCTGTGCCCAGGATTTTCATGTCAGAGAATTTTTTTGACGTAAGGCCTGAGCGGAAAGGGCTATCGTCTAGACTCCGCTCATCAATTATAATGTACTTTATGAGTGACCAAGGGATGAGCTAATTCCGACTTGGGAACTTTTGTCGTTTATAAAATCACGTAGATCTTCGCCTTCATCTGTGCCATCATCTGAAAGCTCCGAGGCGATCCTCAGATCGTCACCCTCCCCCTCCGTACTATCACCTGAAATCTCAGGCCTTTCATCTACCCCCATCTCTTTTGCAGAAGCTAGTAGATAATCTCTGCCAGAAGTAACAGGTGTTCGTCTGACCATGTCTAGATTTGAGGTTGACCGAGACTTTTTCGGTGTTGGCCCTCTAGGTTTAGCTGATTTGGGGGTATGTGTATTCAACCCAAGTCGAGTTTCATCTATCAGAGTAGGTAGGTCTAGATATTCTAGAGAAGCGTCATAGCAATTATAAGACTCAAAATTACGCTCTCCGGGGCGCTGTAAGATAGCCAAAGTTTTAAACAGCTGTACACACCTTTTCGTATATACTCCATGAGCTACGTTTCCGAAAGGTCGTAATGATCTCTGGGAGACTGTCTGAGTGGTCATCTCTGGCATGGTAACTTCCTGCATGTCATCACCGTCAATCTTCTGGTATTTTTGTTCTAGTTCAGTGTTTTCATCTGCACGGAGAAATACTGTCTCTGCAGGCAAAAGCGGAGCCAGTAAATCTTTCACTAGCTTCTTGGATCGTATTTTGGGTTGGTCTTGGGCAGAGCGAGCTGTTTTTCCCTCATTTAAATTTGACGCCATAGTGAAATTAGTCTCAACGCCATCCGGCATATTGAATTTCTTTGCTGGCTTTTTCTTTGGGGCTGTCCGTCGCTTAGGCTCGGGGAGCCCTGGATTTTGTGTGTTTTCGATCGGAAGTTCGATTACCCTCTTCTCTACGACTGGAATAATTTCTCTGGGAATAATTCTAACCGAGAGATCGTGTCGAAAATTAAATCTTGTGCCAGAGCTAATAATTTTTTGCATGTGCTCATAGTTATCTTTAGCTTTAGTGAAGGAATCTTCTTCTTTTCCTTTCATGAGAAGTAAAACAATTTTCCCTGCTCGCTTCCGTCCTGTCCGACCCATTCGTTGTAACATTCGAATAGGCGACGCAGAGGAATCGTAACACACTATTAGATCTACCTGTCCAATATCTAGTCCTTCTTCTCCAATTGAAGTAGCCACAATTACATTAAATGTACCAGAAGTGAAATCTTGAATGGCTTTAAGCTGCTTCTTTTGGTTCATTCCTTCAGACCGCTTAGAGTCGGCTTGTCCAACAAAGACGGAAGCTCGAATAAGGGGGGCATGCCTGTTCAAGACACGAGCGATATCTTCTGCGCTATCTCGATATTCGGCAAACACAATGACGCGCGTGGTAGAGGGGGTCGTATTCTCTCCTGATCTTCCTTCGCCTGCATCTAAGAAGTGGTTTAGAATAGTGTCGCAGAGAAAAGTCATCTTGGGATGTCCGATGAAATCGTCTTTACTTAACCATGACTGAATCTTGCTCATCATATTTTTGAATTCGCTACTGGAGATGATTTGATTCTTGTATTTACCGGGTTTATTGCTTTCTTCGGCACTATCACGAAAGTCTTTTATGGCAAAGTAGAATGGGGAAATACCATGAAAGTTGAGGAGCTTGATACTATGTGCGATGCTAGCAAGAATAGTAAAAAGACTATTCATCATCCCCTTTAATCCTGGATTTGCCCGTCTTCCTGCATCAGACTGCATCCATGCTGTCCTCGCCTTCATCATACCAAAAGGTGTCAAAGCCATTGGGTCTCGATTCCAGTACGCGTTTCCTGTACACAGAATATTCACAAGTGGCTGCAATGCTTTAGAGAAGAGTGTCTTGATCATAATTATTTCCTCTGATGGATCGAGAATAATTTGATCGATATTCCGACGGTGGACAAATTGCTGAATGTCCAAAGATTCCTCGGTCCTTATTTCTACTTTTGAGATTTCCAGGTTGTCTATTACTTCTTGAACAGCTTCAATTGTAGACCCTGGAGTAGCTGTTAATGCCAAAACACGATAACTCTTGTTGAACCTTCGCAAGAAAGACACGACTCTAACATATGAGTAATTGCCAGTTGCACGATGAGCTTCGTCTACGACCAAGAGGGTTATCTTTTTAGGATCAGCAATCCCACTTACTAAGTCATTCTCGAGAGTTTGTGGTGTCATAAAGAATACACGCTTTGTAGCCCATTCCTCGGCTCGTAGTGCAGGCGCTTGTTCCCCTGTGAGCATTGTCGTTTGGGATTTGGGTATACCAACCACATTAAAGCATGCATCTACCTGTTGAGCTACTAGAGGCTTTGTAGGTGCCACAAAGATAATTTGAGCGCTTTCTGTCCACCTGAAATAATTAAGCATAATAGTAGCAGCTATGAATGTTTTCCCTAGACCAGTGGGTAGAGCAACAAGAAGGTTATGAAAAAGACCATTCTTCACAATCGTATACTGGTAATCTCTAATATCTCCCAGATTCATAGGATATACCCAGACACTCAGTGCATCTTTATTTAGCGCATGATGTGTTGGCGCCTCGGCTGCTTGATCTGCTATATAGTTGTGTGTCTTTCTACTTTTGGGGGAAGCTCTCTCTGCCTGAGCAGCAGACCCTCCAAATAAAGTCGTCTGCCGTAAACCTTGTTGTGAAGCTAACAATTGTTGTCGCGGCCCTGTTATACCTAGGACTCTAGATGATGACTCGGAGAGAATTATACTATCACTAATAGGTATGGGTTCTGGACTTGAAAAGGCGTCAGAAGGAAGCCCCTCTAGTTCCGCATCAATGCAGTGAGTGTCTAGGGCCACTCTGCTCTGTTGGAACGAGCTATCGGATATTGGTTGCTGATTCACTGTTTGGAAAGGCTTGGATACCGTGGGTGTTTTCTCTGCTCCAGGTGTTCTGCTGTCAGACTCCCCTTTTTCGTAGGAGCTAATGCCTGACGGGGTCTCTGTCCCTTGGGATTGCGATGGTACAACAGGTTCGACACGATCATTTAGATTTATAGAAGACTGTGCCTGCCCCATCATATTTAGGTCTTCGGTCCCAATGTCCGAGAAGTCTTCGTCACCCGAAGTAGTACATATATGCCGACGCCTAGACGGTGTCCCTTCATTGCTGTGAGTGCCGCACCTTCGCCTCTTCAAGGGAAATGATTTAATAGCTGGCGAGGAATCATCAAGAGCCTGAATTAAATCTTCGTCAGCAATTTCATCGTAATTCTCTCCGTCCATGACTAGCATTTGTCGAATATAATAAACAGCGCGTAGTTCGTTATAATGTAGTCCGAACAGACTGAATGACATCACGTGCCAGGACGCGTCAAATTCTGGCGGATAAATTTAAGAGCGGGCATGCCCGATCCACTTGCAAGGCCTAAATTCCAACGACATTCAATTGACTCACGCTATGAAAGTTGATTTTAAGTGGACCCAAAAAGTCAAAATAACCTAATATCAATAAAGGAACACACTATGGTCAAATAAAAGGTCCCAACCAATTGACTACAACATACAGGAACAGTGAATAAGCCCAAGTAAATAGAGCTTGTGTGATTGCCAACAGTATTAATAATAGTGAGTTCTAGATGCATTTGACCTAAAAAGCTAGTTTCCATTGCCTTGTGGGTGCATCAAGTATTCAACCTAGCATGTCTTTGTCGCAGATTGAATATTATGAAAGGGAAGTAGCTTTGGATCAACTCTTAGCTCTATCCTCTCTCTACTTTCAGGATCGGTGCCTCTGTGTCAAACAAGTGGAATTTACTGCGTGAGTTTGAATAATTGTCCTATTCCACCGCATATTGTGCATGGCAATCCTGGCTGTTACAGACCCGTAAATAGCCATTGTTTCACTGACTAGAGAAGGAATGACAAAGGGTTCCTCCAACTGTTTGTTCGAATTAGGACTTATGGGGGCTAGTACTATTGGAGGGGAGCTATATAAGAGATATAGAAGGCGATATACTGCTGGTAAAGTTATCCTTGGCCTGCAGCGTTGTAATGCAGAGTGTAAACGGAGGTGTGCATGGAACACATTATCAAATGGGGTAGTCACACTTTCCAAATGAAGTCAAGGGTAAGAAAGTGGAAAATAACGAAGATCATGTTAGTCTATATCAAGATATTCATCCTCTCTCTCCGTGACAACCAAATCTTCCACTCCATGCCAATAAGATCATACGAATGAATCTCACAGACGACTTTCCTGTTATTTGGCCGTGAAATATAACATGTGCAACTCTTTTCCGTTTATCCTATATCCTCACTGGTAGTCATGGAGGATCTAGATGTCTTGTGTGGTCATTGGCTGACAAATGACAAAAATAATAATAATAATAAAATGTCTTGATGGCTATTTTTTTGCATCAGATTTTAATTGCGTATGCAGCTATCTAGCTATGACACAATATCAGAGAAGTGTAAAATATATGACCTAATTTAAAATAATAGCACTCATGCCTTGGATTTCACTTGCAAGTACCACTGCGAAGTTATGGTGGCTCTTTCTTCACCCCAAGTCAACCCTCATCAGTGAATACCCACCCAGAGAGCAGTTGGAATAGAGGAAATGGTCAAATAAATACATATCTAATATACTTGAATACAATTAAAAAAGAACAGTCCGTCGCAAAAAATCGCTACTCAAATAATAAAGTACATAATGGAATAAAAAACAGGAGGATAGAGATATCCAAGTAAAGATAACCATGTGTGGAGTATAAAACTAATTAGACTGCAGAAGATATGGGAAATTTTGTAGCACACCAAGTTTGGGCAAAATCCTGATCCAACCAGAAATAAATTCAATGCATCCGCGTCTTACTACCATCGATCCTGAAACTTCGAGCGTGCCAGAGTCTCACCGAATCCGAAAATAGGGACAGTGTAAGACAGCTCTATAAAATCACCGTTTTATCTTAACTTAAATCGGACATGAGCCCAATGAAATCAAGCAATCCAGTTTTCAGCAGTTACTTGGAGCTCGACTTGTATTAACATAGATGAAAAGTATCAGGAGTCTCTAGCCCAAGCTTTCTATGCGGGTAACAAACACAGAATTCCACGCAAAATAACATGTCTTTTCCTCTATACTCAAATGGTGCAGAAGAAATTTGGGGATAAGGAAAGGATTAATTCTTCAAAGCAACGATAAATAATCCCAGCGACATCAAAATCATTACACAGGAAACTCAGATTATAATTGGACAGAGTTACTCTAGATGACAAATGCGATCAAATTGCTGCTGAGGAAAAGAAACGACCATTTCTTGAGGTAGATTAAGAGGATCAGATTGGCTTACATGAATCGCATTATATTGTAATTGCGGTTTATTGAAAGAGAACTAGAAGACTGTATGCATAAAAAAATGGGTGAGAATTTTCACTGAAAAGTTTGCTACCATGCAAACATCAATGTTCAAAGGCGCCTACATGGATTCACAGAGTGTTGGAAAAGATAATCTTTACGATATTATATGGACACAGAATGATGGAGTAAGGAAGACTTGATATTTTACAGCTAAGGAAACATTGGACTTACATATATATGTATGGGATAAATCGACACTAGTCTTATGTGCCTGTTGGATGGGTTGTACATCAAATACGTGATAAATAGACGCAAAGACAACTGTAAATTGATTGTTAATTAATTTTATTATCCTTTCTGAGTCTGACAATGTAGGACATGCAGGTCTTCTCTACCTACAGGCCAATGATACCTATGCAAGTAGTATATCCCATCCCATACAACTCCTCTCAAAAAGTACCACCCCTCACGAGTCCTCCTTCGATCATACACTTAGAAGAGCCCTTTTCCCTTCATTATCTCCCCTCCCTACGAGACCAGATAATCGAGTGATGGTATAACTGTACTACTTGAGTCATAGACTATCTAGCACGTTGGGCTCCTTTCTGACTCAGGCCACACCTTGTACAACGCTCCTTGCCTCTCATGTTTCTTGAAGGATCATTGATATATTGACCTTGATGAATTACTATTCGGCTCGGTGATTATCCATGGAATTCGGCCACTTTTCCATGGAATCTTCTGCCCAAAATTAAAAAAATTAAAAAATTGCAATGGAAACTGCGAGCGCGAGAAAAGGTCTCAAATACCCACAGCACCAGCCAGGCGAGGCCTAGACACCGGAACCACACGAGGTACGCGTATTCATGTATGTCTCCCTTCCTTGTGACAGTCGTGGCCAACTTGATCCAATCCGCCATCTCTGTATCAGGTGCTGGGTACGCTCCGGAAACTCATCGGATGGCTTCTCCTCCACGATCAAAGGTTAGTGATGAGAATGACTTCGACCCTACCATCTAATCTGATCCTAATTAGATTCATGATAATGATGCTAAGGGAGTGAAGACGATACAGACGGCGAAAGGAATTAGGAATCCTCATCGAAGCGAGGATGTTGTTACTCAATCTCAGCTCTCCAGACTCTACAGTGATGGCTGGAGCTTCGTAGAAGACACCACTGACAGGTGATGAGAATAGTCCCCCGAGTCCAGATATCAATGTATGCGAAAAGCACGAGGGCGTCCAGGTGTGTGAAGAGTACAGAGTCAAGAGGGGAATGGTGGTGGATTGCAATGTATTTAAAATATTATATACAGCTTAGGGGTTGGATGGTGCAGTGGTACATCATCCGGGCCGTTCTCCCGAGTAGATACTGGATAGGTTGAACACCTACCCCACTCGAGACAGGAAAAAGCTGGTTCGAATCCAGTCGGACCCACACACTACTCTCTCTCGCGGTGATATCGTACTTGTGGGATGATGAAAGCACACTCAGATAGTCACAAGTTCTTCACGCTTTTCCCTGTGGTGGGTATGCACGGAAGAGGTTGTACGCCGCAGGGGTTAACCTCGAGTGTTATCTGCAAATAAAATCTGAGTGTGAGTGTTCTAAACGTCATATTGGGTCATCCTACTTGAAGTACGTATCTTCCGATAAAACCTGCATAGGCCTCAAGGCGCCAAATCAGGTAAAATGAACTATATATATAGCTCAGGTGCTCCTTCTCGTCTTTTCTTTTGCATCAGATTTTAATTGCGTATGCAGCTATCTAGCTACGACACAATATCGGAGAAAAGTACAGAAAAGATGACTCAATTTACAAGAGGAGCACTCATGCCTCGGATTTCATTTGCAAGTACCACTGCGAAGTTATGGCGGCTTTTTCTTCACCCCGAGTCAACCCTCATCCGTGAGTACCCACCCAGGGTAACGTCTCAAAAACCCTGAGTTATTCAGACATGCCTCCGTCATCCATCAACTTTTCTCCGCGCGATATTTAATCTGAGATGTCTCCTTCCCAAGTGAAGTAGGTGCCCAGACTACTCAAACTATACCAGAGAACATCACCAGGAGGCGGATCATAACACCTTCCATCGTCGGCTTGTTTTTATAGTGTCAGCTGCACTCTACTCCTTCTCTTCAAAGTGGCACGTAAAAACACAGAGGCGCGTAGTAAATGCACAATGTTCTTCACAAATTTTAATCGTGCCTCTACCTTGATTGTGAATGTTGAATGGCCAAATCCCTCTAACATGTGCACATATTCGGGAAAGGGAAATCGGAGGACAGCTAAGAGTCTACGCAATTCCAAAATCGCTTGAGCCCTCTGGTCGTATCGTGGCATTACAGACTGCCACCTCTAGATTAGATAACTTTTCTAAATGAGGTGGAGCCCGTAATACCCGCGGAGGATGAAGGCTGAACAACTGTCAGTGGTGGTCTCTCTGAACCCAGGAGTGAAATATTGTCCTTGAGACGAGATTCGGTAACGAAAAAGGGTTAGTTCGAGATTTCACGTTGAAATGACGATTAGGAGGAGTAATGATGGCAAGTTTTTTATCGTAAATCTGTCCCGCATAGCTTTCAGGACTGCACAACCCGACGAATTCAATCACCTACACCTCAGATATGAACTGTAGACGGAATAAACCCTCTCTGATGTTCATATATAAATAACCGACTACATTCACTATCTCGAATTGTCTTGGAAGATCTTTTCTATGCAGAATCATCTCGCCATCTACCGGAGCTCTCCAAAGTCTAATAGTCAAATTCGTCATCTAAGATTCAAGTGGAAATTAATCCTCTCACAACTATTGTACGCTGTGAAGGTAAGGTCATAGTACCGGCTTTCTGTTCGTCCAACCTCGGTCTAGGGCACCAATAATTCGACCTGCGATGAATCATCATCGACGCGAACGTACGATACTT